TTCTTTCCTTCCAATTTCCTTTCAATTCTCTATTAATTCCAATTAATAAAATTAATTTCCAACATTAATAAAAATCCCACTAAATCAATTAATTACTACAATTAATTATTTAATGAAATTTGGGCTGTTACAAATTGAACTCACCTCCACCATCGATTATGAGGATCTTCATCCTTTGTCCACTTTGATTTTCAACCTTCACTTTGAACTTCTTGAACTCAACAAACACCTCGTTTTTGAACTTTATGAGTGCTATCCATGTCATTCTTATAAACTCATCCATAAATGACACAAAATAATTGTTTCCTCCAAGTGAAGGTACCTCAAATGGCCAACATACATCAACATGCACCACATCCAAAGCATGCTTTTTGAGTCATTTTTTTATGAGAATGGCAATCTGGGTTGCTTGCCTCTCATGCATATATCACATAATTTCTCTGGTGCCACAATCTTTGGAATTCCATGTATCAAATTCTTTTAAATCAGATGCCCTAAGCTTTTAAAGTTAAGATGCCCCAATCTCTTGTGTCACATGTCACTTTCCTCTTCAGCACTCCTCGCACAAAGGCATTGAGTGTATGATATTGCAACATTCACCTTGAATGTTTTGTTTCTTCCTAGTTCATAATGAATAATCAAATTTTGATTACAGTCATACAACTTCAAGAGATTGTCCTTCAGAGTTATTGAAAAACTTTTTTCAAGCAGCTGATCTACATTCATCAGATTGTTATTCATGCCAGGAACATACCATACATCCTTAATCAATACAATTTAACCATTGTTCAATTTTACTCTGACATTTCCCGTTCTTTTAGCATTCAGATACTCATCATCAACACATCTAATCTTGGTCTTTCTACCAGAGTCAAAATCAACCAACCATTATTTTTTTCCAATTAGGTGATTTTAGAGCCATTGCCCATATACCACCAGTCCACCATTTTTTCACATGCATTCTTAGATGCCATCAATAGCACATGTTCATCATTAGAATCTCCTATAGCTATATTGACTTCTTTACCTTTGCTAACCTTGTTTGACCAACAATTAGCAGAAAAATGACCAAACTTGTTGCAATTCTAGCACTGAACCTTTGTCTTATTAAATTCTCCTTTCCCTTCTGAACATTCTTATGTTTCTTCTCATCTGGATCAAAGAGTTATGACATATGACCACCACCACCATTCTTTTTCTTGTTCTCAAGTCATGTTTGCTTCTAGTTCTTCTTGACAAAAGTAGCTTTCAGAGTTTGAGCTTTTAGAGCCTGATATGTTTCCCTTTTAGAGTTTCTTTCAGTCAGACGCAACTCTTGTGCCTCTAAACTACTATGAAGCTCTTCAATTCTCATGGTGCTAGTGTCTTCTGAACATTCTATGGCTACAACTATGTAATCAAGCTAAAGAGTATGTGATCTTAGTTCTTTTTCAATGATTACTTGTTCAGAGAGTGTTTCTCCACAAGACTTCATCTCATTCCTGATCACAATTACTTTGGAGATGTAATCAGAAACTTTCTCATTGTTCTTCATGTTGAGATTCTCGTATTGCTTGTATAAGGACTACAACTTTACTTTCTTTATTAATGCATCACCACTGTAGCAACATATGTTGTATTTTATACAATTGGTATGTAACTGTCATTGATGAGATCAAGAATATCTTGAGCGCCAAACAACACACACATCTAAATCAACCATCGATTTCAATTCTTTTCGTCGAATACTAGAAGCTTTACATTCAAGCTACCTATTTTACTATTCATCTTCGTTCTTGTGTAAATCATTCAGTTCTGACCAACACTCATGTTTTTCAAACCTTGAGAATCAAGATTTGTGATTCTCTTCGATTTCGATATTCAATTCAAAGTGAATTCAAGAAACAAAATCAATCACACACCTCACATACACTCTTGTTTCCCCGTGAATCATAACCAGAGCTTTGCATACCAATTGGTGGAGTTAACAACAAAAATCCTTTGAAATACAAGAAGAAAAAGATGAAGATGATGAAAGAATTGCAGAGAGAGAGAGAGAGAACTTAACTAACTTTTCTATTTCTCAAATATCAAACTTCAATTCTACTGCAATTTGTAACTAACTTTGGGTTTATATACACTAACCCAAATAAAACTTAGATATAAATGAAATGAAAACTGAAACTAAAAAATCTTGAATTTGGATTACATCTAAGAAAACCAGGTGGAAACTTACCCTAGTTGAGGGCACGTGATTCCGACCATCAACATATTTCCTACCGTTAAATATGATTCGACAACAATCTGCATGAGGAACCGTATCTCATGAGAACTGTTGTACTTAAATGCACTATATAATATCAAACACGTGCCATTTCAAGTGCACTCTCATTTATACCCTCAAACTACTCTTTCACTTATTCACTAGCTTGGATGTTGGAGTGAGAGCTGGATCAAAATATTATATATTGGTGTGGCTAAATATAAAAAATGTATGAACTAAATTATATTCAAAATAAGAAATAATATTATTTAGGCTTAATTGCAACTTTGATCCCTCTATTTTGTGTTTTTTGATTTTTGATCCCCCTATTTTAAAAACCACGATTTTGGTCCCTTTTTTAGGTTTCAAGATTAATATTAGTCCCTTTGTCATTTTAAGTCATGGTTTTAATGAGGTGGTGCGTTGAATGCTGACGTGACATTTCCATGTAAGTTAAAATGGTCTTTTTAAATTTAATATAATTTCCATATCATTAACTTAAATATTATTTCATTTTCACAAATTTAATAAAATAAAACTTAAATAAAAAACCCCATTAATAGGGATATTATTTCATTTTCATCTTCAATTGTAACCTAGTTCTTATAACAAATAAAAAACCCCATTTCTTCAAGAACGAATGAAACCGCAAACCCAGTTCTTCTTCCCATTGTAACCCATTTTCATCTTCCCATTTCTTCAAACCCAATTCTATATTAAACCGCAACTCGCTTCAAATCAAACTGCAACTCGCTTCAAATTAAACCGCAGCTCGCTTCCCTTCGTCTCTGAAATGACAAACCGAAGTTACGTGTCGAGGTATGTTTCGTAACTCACCTCTGAATACAAAAACCCTAAACATACAAATGGCGCTTGTGTTCTGTCATAGCATATGAATTGTTAATACCAGTCTACCAACAGGTTTTTGATACATCAGTCTACCAACAGGTTTTTGATCCATAATAATTGAACTGCTGTTATGAAGTGTATACATTCACTGTTAATTGAACTTCTGCTGTTATGAATGAATTTTTGATAAGAAACCAATTGAATCAAGAATATGTTGTCTGTTATACATTCACTGTTACAAAATATGTTGTCTTTAATGCTGTTATGTAGTGCTGTTAGTGACAATAAGAAACCAATTGAATTAAGAAATTATTAAGAGAGAAGGATAGTATCAATTTTGCAAAATAGAACTTCTGCTGTTATGAATGAATTTTGACACAAATATGTTTTTGGTGTGGGAACCACGTTGTCATCAGGATCAGGTTCTACTGTCATATTTATTTCTACACCAAATTCATCATGAGCAGCTGTCACTTACGTATCATTCGAAATTTAGTGACAATAAGAAACCAATTGAATCAAGAAATTATTAAGAGAGAAGGATAATATCAATTTTGTAACAGCAGTTCAATTATTATGGATAGTTTTACCTAATTCTAAACTTAACAATCTGACAATTCTTATAATTTTGCATGTGACAGGAAAATATTGATAATAACGGCACACTCGACTATGGTGAATTCATTGCTGCTACTGTCCACTTAAACAAGCTGGAAAGAGAGGAAAATGTCTTGTCTGCATTCTCCTACTTTGACAAAGATGGAAGTGGTTACATAACCATTGATGAGATTCAAGTAGCTTGTAAGGAGTTCGGTTTGGATGATATCCATATTGATGAAATGGTCAAGGAAATTGATCAAGATAATGTAAGATTTCTTCTTCTCTGTCTTACTATTAAGAGATTGCTTGTATAGTCACATGTTTCTGCAAACTGTCTTTCAAGATTATACTCCAACAGTAACATTTTGTACTACAGGATGGACAAATAGATTATGGAGAATTTGTTACCATGATGAGAAAGGGCAATGGCGGGACGGGAAGACGAACCATGACAAGCAGACTCAATTTCAGAAATGCTCTCGGAATCATAGGCAATGGATCCAATTAAATTATTGTTCCTCAAATAACTATTTAGTGATAAAATTTGGACTGAGTTATAAACTATGATAACTTTCAACATTATCTGTAACATGACTAAAATTTGTCTTTGTAAACAAACAAAAAATTAGAAACCTAAATCACTCCATTGTGATACTTGGTGATAAAAAATGCATTTAAGTTAAATAAATATTTAAACAAATCCATTAGAGCAAGGTCTAAGAAATGTTGTGTAATGACCAACTTTGAAGAGATGTGAACAAAAAATAAAAAAATCTCTAAACAAAACTTTGAAGAGGAAACCGGCTCCTTTATTTAACAATCACGAGCTTCATTGTTTTCTTAAAACCAAATATTATCTCATCCCAATTGCAAATACACATCCCTCAAATTTTATTAGATTCAAATGGCTACCAAACTCCCCCAGAAGAGTTTTATAACCCTAGCGACAAAGATTTAGATTTGCTGCAATAAAAATAGCCTGCATTCAACTACATCTGATCGTCGATTATAATTGGATGATTCTGATGTAAAACATATGATTTTGAGAAAATTAAAATGGTTTTGTGTGATTGGTACTATAAAGATCAAACTGTTATATCATTTTAACAACATGATTACGCGAAAACTCGAATTGCAGGATTCAAATTCGAATAACATATACAATTGCACATGGAACAAATGAAGGACAATTCAGAAACCTAAATGAAAGTGGCATACACATGTGTATATATTTATGAGAGTTACTTCACCACTCTTGAAAGGTTTACACTTTAATTGAGAGTACAAATTTGGTCACAATTGGTGTGTTTCATAATTTACTTGCAACCAGAAGATATTTAGTGTGGCGTCCCTGAGCAAAAACCTTGCCAGTCTTCTTCTTTCTGAATTCCACACTGATAACAGCAAGGTTTTTCCCCACACGCAATGCCTTAGCTTCAATCTTAATCTCCTCCTAAGACTCCAACGCATTGAATTCAGACCTCGCATTCAACAAAAAAAAATCACAATAATCAATAATCCCAATTGAAAGAGAAGAAAAAGAGAGATATTTACATCAACATATGCAGCATCCAAGTAAGTAACATTGATCTCAACGGAAACTCCCGTGAGACCTACATGTCCATAGGCTGGAATTGTCGCGGAGCCAACAACGTCAACCAGTGTAGCGGTGGCGCCACCGTGCAAGGAGTTTCCAGAATTCTACAATGAAAATGAAAGGTAATTGAATTGAAAAATTAAGAGAAAGAAAGACGAGTGGTGGAAGAAAGGAAAATACGAGTAAACGGGGAGGTATGATCATGGAGCAGATGACGCGGCTAGGCTCGATGAGATCGACGCGAAAGGAACTCATGATTAAGGTTTCCATGAATTTAGGAGGAAATCCATTCACCATGGACGCAGTTTCTCCTCCTTTCTCTGAGAATTTCTTCTCTGATTCCAACTCCATTTTTCACTTTCTTCTGCGCTGGGGTTTTAACAAAAGTCAATTTAATTTTCTAAAAAATGAAATAAAAAAACTTAAATGACATGGAAATGATATTTGGTGAATAAGACCATTTTAAATGACATGGAAATGCTACATCATCATTCAAAGCGCCACCTCATTAAATCCATGACTTAAAATGACAAGGGGACTAATATTAATCTTGAAACTTAAAATGAGGACCAAAATCGTGGTTTTTAAAATGGGGGGATCAAAACTAAAAAAAACACAAAATAGAGAGACCAAAGTTGCAATTAAGCCTATTATTTAATGAAGTATGTTTACAATGAAAACCATCTACTATCCATTTCTTGAAAATGAGTTAAAATAACATCATTGTTAATTGTTCAAAGAACATTTTTTTCTATAAAAGTTACAAGACAATCGTTTAGCCATTGATCACTCATTTTGTTACATAGTTGACTCTTCACAAACTTTATAGCTGAAAAAACACTTTCCACGCTTGGAGTTGCTACTGGTAAGACTAAAGTCAACTTCAAAAACTTATAAACCATATCAAATGTTTTGTACTTATTTGTTTCCACAAGTTTTGCATAAAGATCTTAAAGTCCTTTTAAATTGGCAAAATTTGGATCATATTGAACATTTCTAAGATAATTATAAAGCTAATGCTGCAACACCACTTTCTTACACATCTATAAAATCATTTGGATAAAGTTATTCATACTATAAAGAGAAGAATAAAATCAATTGATTATAAATAAAACCATTTAAGAGAAATTGAGAAAATAAATTTTTTAAATAAATTGAGGTTTTAGGATTCAACCCAAAAAAGAGAAAAGAATAAGAAAAAATTAAAATACTCACTTTATCTTTGATTTTAAATCATCATTAAATAAATATAATCAAACCAAGTGAATAAATTGGAAAAAAAATAAAGAATTAACTAATATGATAGTAAGAAACCAAGAATTAAACAATACAAAAGCAAGTGTCAAATGTCAATATAATATTTCTCTAAACAATTACTACATGTCAGAATATAATAAATTAAGTAAAATTACATCTAATTATCATAATTTTGATAAATTCATGGTAATATCAAACATGCACCACAAATATTTAGATATTAATATTTTCTCGTTGTCAAGATAACAAACATTAACTTGATAACATTATGATTAATTTAAGTATTAGTAAACACATAATCGTAGAGGAGCATATAAGAAACCCTTTACTTTACCCTTGAGAATTGACAAGTTAAATCCTGTTGAGTCCCAATTTGTACTAATGTTAGAAAAAGAAAAATAAAACTTACCTTTTACCAAAACTAAAAAATAGTAAAAGAGTTACTTCTCCGTAGGGGACTGGTAGATGGACTTTAATACTATATGATAATGGTTGCCAGATGGTAGCTCATAATTACTAATTATCCATGTCTACTCCTTAGCTTTATAACAATCAACCATTAACTAAATCTTGCATTTTTCTAAATATTTTAACGCTATGTGTTTTATTTAACGTGACTATTAAGTATTACTAGTATTACTTTTGGTCTATAATTTATTTTTTCTATCAAACAAATTTCTAATTTTTTATTAATAAAAATATTAGCATTAAATCAATACCAATTAATTACGTATACATGTTCTACATATGTCATATATTTTAGTGTAGAAATTATATATATATATATATATATATATATATATATATATATATATATATATATATATATATATATATATATATATATATATATATATATATATATATATATATATATATATATATATATATAAACTATGATTTACAACATTTTAATTTATCAAGCATTGAAATTAGAAATATTTGAATAATTAAACTATTGACATGACACCTTTATATTTTTCTAAAACACAAAGTAAAGAGAGACTAATGACAAACACATGTTGATTTGTTGTTCTTCCTCAATAGGTACTCATAATATCTTAAAATTTTTTCAAATAAAAAAAAATATAAATTGTTTGTGTACGATATATTGAGAACTATAACCTATATATAGTGTGATAGTCATGTTCTCATTATTTCCAAATGAATCATCATAACATCTATTCATATTTGAATTCATATCTAATTAATTAATTATTAAATAAAAACCTAAATAAACTTTTAGATAAAACTTTTAAATTTATTTGACAATTAAAGCTCTAATTTTATAAATAATTAATATAATTAAAATATATATGCTCACATAATAATTATTAAAATATAATAATTAAATAATATTAATATTATAAAATATTCTAATAAAAATATATATTAAGAAGTATAAAGGATATTCTATCTATCAAATATTAGATAATAATTATCCTATCTGTTTTTTTATAAGTGTCATTTTTAGATAATCTTTTGTTTTTTTTTAACTGTCACTTACAATGTCAGATAATATTAGTTGTATTTTTGTCAAAAATATTTTTAATTATTTATTATAAAGAGAAAAAAATAAAAAAATTTAATTGTCACTTACAATGTCTAAGATAATATTAGTTTCATTTTTGTCAAAAATATTTTTTATTATTTATTATAAAGAGAAAAAAATAAAAAAAATATAACAAATAATTAAGAATATAATAGGCAAAGAGAATATTATTGTTTGAAAAATAGTAATAATGATTAACTTTTTTTATTTTGTATAAAAAGACAAAAAGAAAAACATTTAAACAAAAACAGAGTTAGTAATTTCTTATTAAAAAGAATAAGGACTAAATGCTCCAGTCATCTCCAACCAATGTGGGACCTCACGCTCAACACTCTTTTTTGGGATTGGTGCGCGGATTTAAACAGTGGACTGTCTAAAATCCGATCAATAGAACTTGATATCATATTAGAGTTTGACCTAACACAATTTTACAAAATCAATTGGTAAGGTGAAAAGTGTCATTTTATATAAACTATTTCAATGCACTATCTCCAACTAATGTGGAACTTTAGAATCTTCCTAATAAAAACAATCCACTATGTTTTTTACTAAGGTTGCTTTTGAGACTCAAAATAAAGGAGTTGAAAAAAAACCGCATTTTTTTATCTTATTGAATTCATCATTATCAATTTCATTTAAACTTAAAAAAAACTCTAATAACGTTTTTGAGTTATTTTCCTTTTGACTCATTGATTACGACCGAATTGGTAGCTTTTCAAATTTATATATATTCATCAAGATACATTTTCTAAACTTTAATAAAAGTTGTTGATATATATAGTATTCAATTCTCTTATCCAAATGATGAGTACATGTTCCAGAAACAAATCATTAGACTTTGCATGCAAGCATGGAGAAATTATAAGATCTAGTCTAACACACTTGCATGGTACATGTACTGTCACCAATATCAATAGGGTTAGCCAGTTAGGTGTGGTGTTGGTCATGTGTCATTATTACAATATGGGGTTTGATTTAAGTACTATTAACGTTCAAAATATTATGGTATTCAATACATATGAAATCAAATTCATATATAAAAAAAAGAAGCACAAATGATAGATTAATAAAATTTAATTTATTAAGTAAATTTTATTAATAAGTTTTAATAATTTGTTATTCGTGTATATATATATATATATATATATATATATATATATATATATATATATATATATATATATATATATATATATATATATATATATATATATATATATATATATATATATATATATATATATATGTATATATATATATATATATATATATATATATATATATATATATATATATATGCATAACAATGTATGTTGCCATCAAGATTGTTGCAAGTATTTATAAGTTTAGACGGTAAAGGATGTGAGAGAATAATTTAACTTTGTACCTCAACATTATATGAAGGTTTTTTTTTTCTTAGAAAAACTAGGTATGAAGGATTATCACTTATAAAAACTAAATTATCTTAAGTATAATGCAATAAATTATTTCGTATTTTACTACTAAAAAAGTTGTATTCTTATACTATTTTCTAACAATCTCTTAATTAAGAAGACGGAGATTAATAGGGAAGATTTTTTTATTGATAAATTTTCCAAATTTCATTTTGAGACTTAGTTCATTTTTGTAAGGATGATTGATATGTTTTGAGGCTTAAAGACAATTTTAATATAGAACTTCTTTTAGATAAGAGGCATGACGTGATTGCTCTAAAATCTCTCTTATCACACAAATATATTTTGCCTTTGATCATTACGACTATTTTAAATCCCTTTTTCATTGAGCCACTTTGAGGCCAAAATTGGATAGAAACACCTATCATTGATTCATATAGAGGTGAGAATAAGTCATGTCATTACACATGTGCCTAAGCTAAAGCCATACTAATTTTTTTTTATAAATAGAAAAAACTAAGACTATTTTAGTGCATTTTTGGTTTAGCCGCAGCAAATGAAAAAGTACAGCAGAAAATTATGGTAGCATAAAAGCTACACTTTGTAGTTTCTAGTTTTTCAAAAGCTAAATCAAAAGTTGATATTAAGATTTTATATTGACTGGTTTGGTTGAAGTTGATCAAATCTAATACACAATTTATATAGGACATTTTTTGGACGAGGTAAAATAACCACCCGTTATATCAATGAGTCAATTTGAACAAACCTATTAATTTTCGAGCTGGATAAATTAGTGGAAACAACTTTGTGATTGGATTCATTTTCCCTGGTCTTTCTATTCTTTGCCTTTACTCGATTGCTTGATGGCTATTGAGGAGATGGTGGCGGTTTCTTTCAAAGTTGATTTTGATTGGGTTTTCGGTTTAGCCTTATGTTGGACTATATGGTTCTGCCGTAATTCCATTCTTTTTTAGAATGGTTCTTTGAGTAAATTCAATGGTTTATGGATGATTAAACATTTGGTGTGGTATTGAATAGTTGTATGGAAAATATTTAAAAGTAGGAATTTGTGGGCTGAGTGGTATGCACTCCGGCTATTGTTTTGTTTTAGTTTGCTTGGGTTTGTTTGTTTTTGTTGTGTTTGGACT